ATATATTGCTTATTTGCTGTGTTTTGTGGTGGGAGGAGGCGGGGAGGGTGTGGGGGGGGGGGTTGGCAATCCTATCTGCCTGTTAAACTTAATCACTGTGCTTGCGTGTGTGTATATGTGGATTACATTCCTATTAAGGTTATGTACTTCTTTTCACGATGAAAAATTGGAAGCTTCCTCTCTCTCTCTACGGTTTTCGGTGAATTAAACCCCATACCTCTTACGTGTACCCATGTCAAGCTTTTGTGGACATTGGTTCTGTGTCTAACAGTGAAGGATATGATATAACCTCACTGTTAAGTGCTGGTCTATGGGGAGTTAGTCAAATTTGGTTTTCTCATCAAACTCTGGGTTTCTGACAAAATAAGACCTGAAAATAATACTACTCAGTCGTCTAGGGTTGTTGTTGTTGTAGATTTTACCACGGCGCTTATTTTAATTTGAAGGAAATTTTAAATCTTTAAACAGCTAGGTGACAATTCTTGTTTTAATCAACCTATTATTATTAGAGCAACTGTTTGCTTGACCAAATGCAGACAAGGGAGTGTCTTTCTTCTTACCACTGTTAGAAAATGATTGTCCTACTTTTTGACAAAATGGAAATGCCATTTTTGGCAGGTGTATGGAAAATATATAATTAAATAATGAAGTTAAGTAAAGTACCTTTAGTCAGCAGAGTTAATTTCTTAGGTCAATTTGTAACCTCTACCAGAAGCTGATTTCATAATAGCTGAACTTGGAGCTCAGAGCTAATGATGAACCAGTAGAACAACTCCAAACATTGGTTAGTCTCGTCTACTTCTACCTTTCAGTATAAAATCTCAATACTATTTTGTGGAATTTTTCAATGAGAACGTTCTTTATGCTACCTCGTGGGATAATTTGCTAATTTAAATTCACGTTGTTGTTGTTGCTACCTCCTTTTTTTCGAACCGGTTGTAGTAGGCGCCTTTGAGCAGTATGGTGTTTCCATATCATCTTTTCTCTATAGAATTAATTTGTCGTCACCCGCTTTCTAATTCCCACTTTACATGCTTCGAGCTATGCTCGCATGTTCTTGTGATGCATAAATTAGTACAATGAGAGAGAATGTTTGGTGGTACCTATGTCATTGCACAGTTCACCCTTTCGCCTGAATCAAAAATTTATGATAGACTGGTGTGGCATTATTTTTTTATGAACCAAAACTCTGAAAATTTGGTACGTGTTTATATTGGGTAATATGGTTGTGCATACGTGATGGAATTTCATGCTATCGAGTCACCTTTGCTGTGGAAATTTTTGCAGTGGATTTTGATTGAACACACCTGAGAAATAAGCGAATAGTGCTTTCTCTCTCTCTCAGTTCGAAAGTTCAAGAATTTGTTTTCAGGGGGCTCTAAATCGTATTCCTACGTCTTCTTTAAGGCAAAAGGACGGCTTTTTTTATTCCATCAACATTTTATACTACTGAAGTGTTTAAACACAGGAATGATTGGTAATTTCCTCTATACTTATTAGATGCATTTGTCACCTATTTTTATTGTTGGATATTAATTAATTTTCACTTTTATGTTCTAGCAAAATGAAGTTGACTATCCCCTTCCCTTAAAGCGTGTCATTTTATTTCCTAATTAAACTAGCGACATTTAAATTCCACTCAGCGTGAGTTTTGACTTTCCCACTTCGAATGACACAAGTTAAGCATCCTTCCCTGTGCTATGAGAATTTTTAACTCTCAACCATTGGCTAATTAGCAACATGTTATCATTGCTTACTTGATTCAAAACATTATTTATATCAAATGGTAGGCTTTATAATAGTCATTATTAGCCTTTTAGACAGAGGGGAGGAGGAACATCAAAGTCGCAAAAAATGTAGACGGGGAGCAGAAGAGTGATTTACAGATGCAGAATAGACAGACACGAAGGTAAAGAAAAAGGTAAGGTGGGAACTGTGGAAGTGGTCGAATATAACATACAGTGGGGTGATGGTAGTTTGAAGTTAAAAGTCAACTGCCAATTTATAGACTTGTTTGCCGTATGAATATACGTTACCCAGGGCGCATCACGTGGAAGCAAGTCTATCGCGCACCCCACTTAATTCAAAATAACAATATGTTTAAAATCTATCCTTTAGCGGTGGAAAAATGAAATACTTATTTCATTTTTTTTAACTCAGAGGTAGCTTCCACACCAACAAGCTTTAATCATTCGTCACACTCACGAGGCGTAGCCACAATCGTAATGCGGTTATGACAAAAATTTAATTGCTATCGTTTTTTATGCGTGCTTGGAAGTGAGTGTGGAGGGAATTAATTAAGGTGGGAGGATGCGTTTAGGGAAGCGTCGCCTCTCCCTTCTGTTCAGCAACTATGAGTCATCGTGCCTTCCTTACGCACCCAAAAATTGCCTGTGAAGTAGGTCAATATATAAGAGGGGAAGCGAGAGGGAGAGAGAGAGAGAGAGAGAGGAGTA